TGAAGCCGATTTCCCCTATCACCAAAATTCTCTCATAAACCATCTGGTAAAAACAAGAGGACATTTACGTCTCTTCGATTTGCGTGCAACTTTCGTCCCCATAAAAACTACTGCATTAACGTAGTGTTTTCTTGTTATGCATCAAGTATCCAGCCTGAGGGCAGCGCAATGAGATTTCTTTGTTTCATTTTTCAGTTAGCTCACGGTTTCTTGTCTGTTCGTTTTTTTTTGTTTTGTTTTTGTTCGTTTGTTTGTCCGTTGTTAGTTTGTATTTTTGTTTGTTCGTTTGTTTGTTTGTTCCTTCTTTTGTTCGTTCGTTCGTTTTGGTTTGTTCGTTTTTTTCGTTCCTTTTTTCGTTTGTTCGATTTTTCGTTTTTAGGTTTTAGTTTGTTCGTTTTTTCGTTTGTTCATCTTTAGGTTAGGTTTATTTAGAATCTTTTCTATGTGTCGTTCGATCGGTATTTAGTTACAAACAGCTGAAACCTCAGTTGACAATCAGATGTGAAAGCGGATTAGGTAAGATGAATCCACACAGGACCACAAACAGGCATGCGTTATAACAATTTTAATTACTTAAATAGATTTAGATTTAAATTCTTAAATGCATTTTATTTACATGAACCGTCACTGATAAATAAAGGCTCCCTGTAAACTGAGGCGGTGATAGTAATCAAATACTTTTATGATAATAAAGAGAGATTTCTGGAAAAAAAAAACTCACCGCTTTGATATCGGTGGGAAATGTCTTGGAGGGTACTGCTTTGTTTGGTTATAGTTGTTAATAATTCATGATCCTTGTATTCTCTACCTGCAGCTTTTATCACTATAATAAAATAGGATGTGATTCTTCTATTCAAGCATCATACAGAATCTGTCCAGAAACAAGTAACAGGAACTTTAAAGAGCAAACAACAGTGATAATAATTCATTCTTTCTCCGATTTATTGGATGTTTGGATGTGTACAAACACATGATCACGCTAAGCCGAGTCTCTGCCACTAGACTGATATGCTGATTTAAACAATTTTTCACGCGTTTAACGCCCGGTGACATTAGCGGACTTTTCATCAGAAGAAAACCGTAAGATGTAAGGAACAAAATACGCTAATTATTGAAATATCCATCAAATTAGTAAGAGTAGTTGTTTATCCTTATTTTGACATCTGTCGTGAATAATTTAAGTACACAAACGGTACACTGTAGTTGATATTGTTAAGCCTCGTGTATTCACTAGCCTATAATATCATTACTGTATGCTCTTAAAACGTGAAATGTTTGAATGGTTGTAGCCGGCGCTTCAGTTGCCGAATGCAGAATGGATTCAGTGAGATTTTTAGCCGTTTTTATCGGATTTGCGTGGATGTTCTATAAAGGTGAGTCCCCATATTTCAAATAAATGATTACTTCTAATGCAGCCTCAAGTTTTATGTTCATGATCAATTTAACGTTGAACTTCGAAAGTAACGACAATTTGTTTGCTGCTTCAGGTATGTAAAATAACAATTTTCACGAAAGGATTTCAAATTTTTTAAATCAGAAACACAGGTAATATACACATCACATATCGGTGTTTTGCTTCTGTTTAATAATGTAAGAAGAATGGAAGACAACTTTTCGTAAACTTGCCTAGAAACACAAAATTTAAACAAGATATTTCATTCAAGAATATCACTCAGTTCTTTCCTTCAGAAGCCCTTTTTTTCAAAACACAATTTTTTCTCTAATAAATGAAACGTTAGTATTCAGTCATGTTCTTTAAGAGGTGTGTTGTTGTGTCGAGAGACTTGAATGCAAAGTAGGATTATATAGGAAGGAAACATCACGCACATCAAGTCATTAACGATTAGGAATTTCTCAGTTTGTTATACGTCGGCGATGAGTTTGACTGTCAACGCTACGGGAAATAAGGAAATTGATTTTAAGAATTCCCCTGCATCACTCAGAGTCTTCAACATGAAGCAGCTGGAACAGTCTTTCATCTCACAAAACAGTTATCGAAAAAATGCTAATACCCGATATTGTAAAACAACTCGACTCTGATTCAGCTTTTTTTTTACACAAAATGCAATTTTACAGATTTTTGTGGCGAGGTCGAAAATTGATGCACACGATGGTACTGATGGTACTAGATGATCATTTAAAACAAAAGTCATAGAGTCATAAGTAAAAATGAAACTGTAGGCTAGGCTTCTCGCATTCTAGACTAAATTCATTCCGCTAAAAACCTTACAAAATTCATCCAAATCGTGTTTCACATAAGTTCTTATATTCAACATAACGTTATGCAGATATCTCTCCGACATATTAAGTAATTTAAGCTCTGGCAAAAACTTTTTTAAGGAAAAGTGCTGACCGCTTTAAAGAAGAAATTATCATTAAATAGATCGTTGGACTCTATCCTAACTGATGGCGCCAAGAGCAACTGGCCGTTGTTCAAACCTGCGGGCGGATTTAGTTTACACTCCTTAGCTGAACAACCCGATATTCATCCACAAATGTTTCTTATAAAATAAATATGATTTATAATCAAAAGGAAGAAGAAAGAAAAAGCGGTATACTGCCCATTATGTTTCGGCTTTATTTTTCTTAAAGCGGAAAAGAGGTTGCTCAGCAAATTTAAAACACAAACTACACGTCTTATCTGCCAAGCTGAACTAAAATAAAGTAGCCGAGAAGAAATACAATGATGTTTTCAAACGTCGAATCAAATCCAGCAGCATCAAACTCGAATCCATTCTGAGTACTACAAGGTCAGCGGGAGAACCTCGACTAATTTCATTATGAATGCAGTTCAGAAGGACCGAGAAGCCAAGTCACGGCGCATTTCAATGCCCGCCGTGCCAAGTGATCCACAGGAATGCTAGATATTAAACTTAAAAATGACAAAAGGCTGAAATGTTCAGTGAAGTTCAGAAAGGTTTAGCCGGCTGTTTCCTGTCTTTGTGGGAGTTCAGCGCTACGTTTTTCTCTCCGGTTCCCTTCGCCTGCACGCAAGCTTTTCTTTAAGTGTGCATGCAGTGAGTCGCCAGAGATTTTAAAACTTGGCGGTAAATTCAGATAACTCCAGAGAAAATATACACCGTTTGTATGACGATGCCCGTATCTTTCTTGAAGAATGGTTAGTAAGACAATTGCTCGAAAGTCATCAAACTCACTCTTTGACCTGCTTCTTACGCTTCCGACAGTAGAACTGAATATCGAAAACCTCTAATTCCTTCCGTTTTGTAACTTATGTTGAAAACATTACGATATAATTACACTCAGCTATGAGACATCTCGTCACCATCTCTTCACTTAGTATGTCCTTAAAATCCATTGCAAAGCACTTCAGCCTTACAGAACTGCAATCACTTACTAATTTTTTGGAATTTATGCAAAACTTGCTGCATTGCATTTTCTCAATTGATTTTGAATAGTACCGCCAGTTGGCAAAATCAAAATGTTATGAGTTAACTCGCCTGTAAAAGTTCACCTTAAATTCAACTTCATTCGAATAATTTATATTAGTAGTACGTTATGATATCTCGTCATTGAAAAATAAGGCAAACTTCATGGCCTGCCAAAAACGTTTTAGAGTCGCTCTCTTGAGATGATAACATACATTAGATCATATATGATAATTACTATCATAGTATCGATGACTTTATTCAACAATCCTTAACCGAGTCGCTCGCGGCTCGGTAAATATCCATTACTTTCACTTACCTGGAGGTTAATAATTTTTTTAGTATATACAAGTAAGCAACTAACTTCCGTCATTATATCACAAAATGGTCTGAAAGTCAACTCTCATTCGCGAGCGAATCAATCGGCGCGTGCAGAAAGCACCATACACACCTGTGTGTTTTACACTTATTTATCAGTCATATAGCTTCATAGACATTATAGGTCATATAGTTTTCGAAACTGCCTATTGAAACTAGCTTATACCAGTGTGCAGGACGCGTGTAACATGTGAACATCGTAATGGCACAGCTCACTGCCGAGCCCCTGTAGCTTAGTGGTAGAGTATCGGAAGCGCAGAATGCGAATGTCTAAGCCGGCTCTATTTTTCATGGGGAATCAGATTTTTTCCTTTGCCCACGCTCTTGACAAGACGGAAAAAAACGTCTTTCCCTAAAAATTATTTTGTTCGATAAAATTTTGTGTAAAATTAAAATTGCCATTTTCATAAACTAATTAGGAAGAAAATATTTTAATGATATTGAAACCAACTTCAACTGGCAACAACCAGCTAATCTCTTTGTTAGTTCGTCCTAATGTTTTGTTTTCTTTTGTTTCTTTGTTTTTCTTTTCACAATTAACCTTTGATAGAATTCCTTTGCTGAAGGATATGTTCAAAATTATTTGAACGTTCACTTTACCCGGGTAATTAATTATTTCTCAGCAGGAAACCGTGAGTATTGTTTCCCTTTTGTGAATACTTCAAGATTCACTTTAGCCTTCCCTTCTTATTTGCGTGGTCTTGATCGTCTAGAAGTTAAAAACTTGCTTTGCTCCATATGGTGATAGCATCTGAATTTCACTGACTGTAATCTCCTTTGTCGCGCTTAATTGAAATGTTCAGTCAAACTAAAAGTAAGATTGAACGTCTGGTTCAGTTTTCAAAATGAAACCCAGTAAAATGTTTTATCTGACATGGCTCCTATTTGGCGGCTAGCTGATCTGCTAAATTTGATGTGCCACACATCTGAACAGAGAAGAAACAATCAGATACTTTGTATCACTTGTAATTTTGTGTTGATTAATAATTAAGGAGAGTTGTCCATGTTACGTGTTCTGAGCGGCGGAATAACACTAAAACTTTTGCTTCCAAATCTCATTTAAAACCGCTAATCCAATGGATGAAGTGGTACTGAAACTAAACAGAGTGCGTGAGGTAGACAAAATACTGACGCTTTTACCGAGAATAGAAAAGAGTACGTACAAATATTTATCTTGATTGAAAAGTAGCTATGGAAACGCATAACATTTTTGCATAAGTAAGCCTCTTTTGAAACACGATTTCAGCAGTACAAGGCAAATACGTACAGTTTAATCTAACGTGACAACACATGAAGCATGATTAATTAATGTTTCATGTAAGTGACAACTTTTAAAGATAATCGTCATGGTTGGCTGAGATACTATGATTAAACTGACGACGAAAAGGGTTAATTGAAACATTGTCAGTAACACCTGCAGCTGAATGCAAACATGTAGTTGGTCACAAACCTAAACTCAAAACTTCTACAAATGACGATTTTCAGCTCAAAATGAAGCTATGTCCTTTAGTTACGCTACTAATCTCATGGACGCTGGTTTTCTCCAAAGGTAGGAATATTTGTAAAGAGAGGTTACTTATTCTACAGGTATTTCACATGAAATATTGCCTCACGGAGAGAAAGAATCCCTTCGAACTAAACAGCTCATTCAGATCTGCTGTTTTGGCCACAAAACAAATCAACAGCTAAATCTTTATCAATAATGTCAGTGAAAATCACTCATCCAGTTTTCGGTAACGATCATATTTTTCAGCATCTGTCTGTCAGACTCGAGGAACATATGCGGTGATAATTCCTCAATCGAATGTTTTAAAACAAAAACATTCTTCCAGCGAAGCCGAATCGGCACACTGATATATAAACATTACACGTTGGGCAAATTACAGTATGATAGGCTTGCCATGTATAGCAATCCGCGAGTTAGTAAGTGTCATCTTGTCCTTTCCGTCGCTTTACATAGGCTAAATATCTCTTCACGGCAACCGCTAGCTTTAATAGAATTGTTATCCTGTTTGAGAAATGTCAGTGTAGATTTATTTATAGAGGCTAAACGTATTTCGTGGTAAGAACCAGCCACAGGTATTCAGAGCGATTTGATTCTTGTTTCGTCTGTAAAACCGAATTTTCCGAATAGATGTTGTTTTTACAAGAAAGGGACCACCAGGATTGAAAGTGTTTTTGTCATGTTATGCACGTAAAGCAAACGTATCGAGACTCGAATTGCCAGAAGGGAATAATTTATGTCCGACTGGCGTGTGCTAATGCGCATGTGCAATCATCGGATACTTAAACGAGCTCATGGTTACCTTGGTGGTCGAAATATAAATTTTTCATTAAAGATGTTTTTTAAAAGCTCCTGTCGTGAAAAAAAAGATTCAATTGATTGACAGAATATAATTTCAGTCACCTTTCGAATTAGCTTTGGTCATATTCTTTTGGAACTTGTTTCACTTTCCTTTGTCCAAGTCTCGTGACAGGCCGAACAGCATCTTTTTTTCCTTCCACTACTCCAAATTTATAATTTTTCTTATTCATTTCTTATTTAATTCATCATCTTTCTCATTCTATTAACACACACGAAGCTGTCTTTATTATTGATCCTAGCAGGATGAGGGACGAGTGTGAAACAAGAACTCGACAGTAGCTCGGTGCGCCACAGAGTTTCCTGTAGTACATGCAGTGATAAAGTATCAGGGCGTTTAGGATTCGACTAATCATGCATGGAAATTCACATGTCGTTCTTTATCTACCGCCTGTAGCAAGACGAGTATCATCATTTCTCATTGCAGGAAATGTTGTCGAATAACTCGCTAAGTCTTTCGTCATTTCGCAACATTTTTGTTTAGAAAAAAAAGCTGAGGAAAACCGTATAATCGATGGTAATTAGGAAAGAAATAATACGTTGAGTTTTCATATGGCCAGTACATGTACGTAATCAAGAAAATAGATTTGTAAGCAGACAGAAAAAAGATCGTTCTTTTCGTGAGACCTTGGGGCACTGAAAAACTTTATTTTATGTATGAGAATTATGATATCTTAAAAAGACCATTTTCTGCCACTCGCCCTAAACATATCGCAATCAATTTGTATCACAGCGTGTCGCTCCACTTTTTTTCCGATTTCCTTTGAACATATAGATTTCTCATCAACACTTTACATCCGCGTTTTATATATTCCAAAGTAACCAGTTAGCTTGAAAAAGTCCTAAAGCGACTCACGAAAGTGTCGAAACACTGTACTTGATGAGCCTTTCCATGTCTTATTTTGCAGGCACCGGGCTAAATTGTCACATTTGTGACCCTTCGAAGTCATGGGATGAATGCAATGAGAAAAGCTCACAATACAAGTGCCCTGAGAAGATGCAGGTTTGCTACAAAACACACAGCGTGGAATTTAATAATGATGAAGAAGTTCATCGATATCGAAAAGGCTGTGGCACAGAGGTATTTTGTACAGGACAGGAATGCAAAGAAAAAGGTACATGGTGCGATGTACAATGCTGCAATACTGACGCTTGCAATGAGTCTACAGTTTGGAATGCCAACTGCAGGACATTCATTGTGCTTGCATTACTCACTGCCGTCCTACTTCTGTAATTTTAATCTTTCCTTGTGGAATCGCATAATTTTTACAAGCTCCAGAGATTGTACACACAACACATTGATCGCCACAGTTCAAAGGGCCTTTTATATTATTCAGCCTGCATTGGATTAATATGCTGTAATGAACATGCTTACACATGGAGGAGGGCTTCCCCCACACATAGATATCACAAGCTACACGAGTCTCCTGATTAAAGAACCAAAACAATAACCGCGACGGAATTCCAAAATACTTCTTCAAAGGCTATACTTTATCAATCCGCAAATGTTAAACATAAAGTTGGAACGAATTTGGAGAGACTTAAGACATATCTCAAATTGTTTAAAGGAATACTTTGCTTCTGTCATGGTGTTTTTCCCTTATTTTCTTTTCTAAATTAAAATGGAATTCTCCATTGTTTTCAGGCAAACAGTTCTTACATTTAAAAATATTTTTTCTGGGAATTGAAGGTCGAAAAAATTGTTTTTTTTTTTTATTTTTACAATTACTTGCTCTCATGAACTCAATCTTTTTAAACCAGCTTCTCCCAATATTTTTTTTATAAACCGTTGGGACTTATGAGTTGACGTTTTGCTATAAAGAAGTCAAAATAAAGCATTTGATTTCATCAGAACTGTTTCAATCCACTTGTTTGGTGTTGTACATTGTTCAGTTGTAGATACTGTCATATTCTATGATGTCCATTGTACTTTGAATTGAAACGAGTGAGGAACACTGTTATGTACTCTTTGAAAGTACTATGCGACATCACAAAGTCCTTGTAGCAAAGGGTGTCGTAATGAGACCCATGCACGAGGGATTTTTCTCTCCATTTGCATCGAAAATGGCAAATTCAAAGTTAGAGGGTCTCAGCAGGGTGGTGCACTTTTACGGCTAACGGTTAAAATTTTGGCCCTTTTACAGCTAACGGTAAAAACTTCCTTCCTTTGTGGTTTTTGGAAGATAGAAAAGGGGGTAAGTTTCTAAAGAAACTGTGGTGCTGCCGGCGTCAGTATAGTAGGGTAATTGGCATTATCAAATGAGTTGATTACCTAAATTAGCCGTAAAGAGTTTAAAAGCTGTCGTTTCGAGCGTTAGCTCCTCGTAATTTGTTCTAACGAAGGGCTAACGCTCCAAACGTCATCTTTGAAACTCCTTACGGTGGCCGATTAACTCAATCAACTCAGTTGATAATACCAGATTACCCTGTATATACATCGAGTCTCTTTTTCAGATAGCATTCTGACAATGTAAAATAGATCAATTCTATTGTCAACTTAAGCTTTTAACAATTCGACCACCATTTTCCATTGTTACGTCATATTTTAAAACTTTTCTTTTAATCACAACGTTTGAAATTTGAAAATTCTTACTCCTAACGGTGAATTCCATGGAAACCCTCAAATGAATCCCTCTCTGGTAAACTGTACGTCAGTGTATTGGCCGTTAACGTGATGGCGAAATGCGTCGATTTCGTAGTGTCGCACGGCGGTGAATGTATAGCCGAAGCGATATCACCATTTATTACACCCAATTTGAAATCACTGGTGGTCCCTGTAATCTGATTGGCTCTCATTGGTGCGATTTATTCACGAATCGCACCATTTTTTGCTTTAAATCGCATCATTTTTCCAGCCAATGAGGAGGCTACACTGAAAACAAAACAACCAATCAGATTTTAAGGCTTCTTTAAAGTAACCAATGTAATTGCAGGGAAATGAAAGACAAAGACTAACATGTGACAAATTTTGCAACCTTTGTTTCCAAAACTCTTGTTTTCCCCCCCTAAAGAAATGGATGAATTTAATTTCAAACTAGCTCAGTTCTGCAGCAATAACATATTTGAACTGACCGAGTCCTGTATTTGGGCGATTTCAAAATGGATGTAATAAACTGGTAATTGAACCTCGTGGCGTACAATTTTGGTCTGAAATCATACTTGTGATTTCAGCCCAAATTGCACTCCATTCAGTTCAATTACCATTATTTATCGTATCGAGATGATTATTACGACTAAAACTATGTTGAACATTAATCGAAGGCCATGGAAATCATTTTAATATCAGTAATTTATCTTTATTCTCATATATTTCTGCCATGGGAATACAATCGTAAAATTTTACAAATTCACGACGTCTACTTCACCACTTCAGTGTTAAAAGTATAAAAAATATTCTGTAAGTCTAGAGGAATTTTAATTAATTCTGACCTGGTCCCTACTTCCCAAGCTCTACTAGACTTCAAAACAATAAATGAAAATTTAGTTCTGTATCCGGCCAAAGTGAACATACTGTTACATGTGGTAGCTAGCTAATGAGAGGGCTTCTTACCGTAAGGTTAGTAAAAATAATAACGATAACAATAACAATAATAATAATAGTGATAATAATAATCTACTGTATCCTCATACGGAGAGATACAAGCTTCTGCGAGTTTATTCCATGACTTACTTTGGACCAAATTAATATGAATCCTTACAATCTGCTATTTTTAGACGTTATCTTTAATAATGGGAACTAAATCGTTGATCTAGTGCATCTCATTTGGAATTAGAATAGAACAAACTTTACGGCAAAGAGAAATTTAACCTGCAAGCTCTCTGAGTTTGGTACAATTTAAAACAAACGTTAATACTGCTCCATTCCTTTTTTTCTTAATCCGCCTTCAACCCGCTAATACACACCCATCGCCGTAACGTTACAGATTAGCAACCAAGGCCAATAGGCAAACGCCAATACTGTTCCATATTTTAACTATTTAATAAAGTACAGCTTGAAGCATCAGTAATCCGTGCCAGTTTTGACCACTTTCTGACACATTCAACTTTTTTGATCAACTGTACCTAGAGCATAAAATCCCCTGAATACAACCGGAAATCAATCAAACTAACATTAAATAGGTTCAAACCACCGTACACCATGTAAGAAATGTGTCATGTTACTGAAGAAATCATAACTACATATGTTGCCTAAGTTTGGTTTAAGAACACTGCATCTTTTGTTAAGCATATACAAAGACTTAAGTTTTAATTTGGTCAGTTTAAAAAATGAGGTTCTTGTGAAACAACGAAAAGTCTTAAGTAATCGAAGAAGTCTTAATCACGTGTCACAACCCGGTCGGTTCTGGTGGAGCGCCGCCAAGATAGTCCGTGCTCTGATTATGAGAGCCCAAGTCATTTCTCTTCTATAACGTCTCCTTCTTCAGGTAGTTGGAAGCTGACTTGCCGGCGAAGACAGCTGTGAGCTGCAGCGCTTCCCTGGAAATAACAGCCATTCACCATTTAAGCAGTGGCCTAACTGGGTTCTAAAACTGAACAAAATCGGCCAACTACACACACTGAACACGAGGGATCGGTATCATGGCCCTACATAGAGTCATTTTGAACTTCTCAACCCTACTTAGCTTACAAAGAACTATTTGTAGGGAGGTAATTTCTAGTGTTCTAATACTGAGTTGGGGAATGGGATCGATAAAACATCATTTTTTCTCAAGGGAGCACAAAATAAACTAAACTAAACGGAATAGAAAGCTGCTAAGCAAAACAAAATAAGTGCTTAACCCTAAGAAAACAAAAAATAGCATGAATAATAAAGAAAGAAAAGAATCAGCAAAAATAAACAAACAACATAACAAAAAATGGGTTCATTACTAAACAAACCTTTGGCAGTTAAGTAATTAGTGGTTCATCGCTTTCTAAACAAAGTATACGTAAAACTGGTTAAAACATGCACAAACAAATAAACAAATATTAACATTCCGAGCACATTCCAACCGCCACGTTACTTTGTTGGCCTGCACTTTAAAGAATTGTTCATGGGTCAGTTGGTGTAGGTTGAGTCTGTCGCCAAATAATACTAACCCTAAAATTTGCTTTCTGTAAATTGGCAAGTTAATCAATATTGCCTAAGTTGGAAAATATCAGTCAAAAAGGCAGCTTTGGTTGGGTTGATACGAATGCTTCCTTTAGGGGCTGCCCATCACCTTCTCGGTTTGAGAGCGTAGGGTTGCAACGACTAACCCGACATCTACCTCAATTTGACAGATGCCTCAGTTTCGTATGCCGGATAAAGAGCGCCATTTAATTGTCTACGCAATGACGCTGAACATGTTTGAATGAGGTGGCATGAGGAACTCATTGTAAGATTGAAGACACACAAGATACTAGAATGACAATTTCACATTATTCCAATGCCAATTATATTCTAATGCTTTTTTATTCCACAACACACAGAGTTGAGAGATGTGATTTTTCTAATTCTTTCCCCTTTCCATACTCCCTCCCGTAAATTTGCGAAAATTGAGTGTAGCTGAGACCGAGAGGACTTCCTTGAAAAAGAAAACCCAATTATTTTTCCAAGGAAAACAATTCCTTGTTCCCCTTTGACCCTTTAACTCCCATGAGAGACCAGAACAGAATTTCTCCTTACAATATCAATACAAGATCAACTAGATAAGTAATGAGAATAAAGAAAATATCAATTTGGGGATAATTAGTTGATCCAATCCTAAATTCTCCGAACTAATATTATAAAAATTATATGATTGACAGTAAGGAGAATGACAAATTTGATTTGGGAGTTAAAGGGTTAAAAAACCAAAAAATAAAACACAACAACAAAAAGACTACAACAGAGAGTAACATTAAAATCGTCAAAAGTCGTTAGATTAGTCGACCTATATGGGAGACAAGAGGACCCGATTCGTATCCGAGAGACTCGCGGACAAACCGAAAGGATTCGTCTCTCAGGAGTTATGGACCAATATCTCTAAGCTTCTACAAACAAGTTTAGTGATATAGAAGATTTAGGGAGTGTTAGATATTTTAAATATTAAACAAAACGTTCAAAGGGTACTAAAGAGCAAATAAAACGGTTACATCAGAGCCGGGAAGTTGTTAAAAAGACAATGTACACGAGCCATAAAGCATTGTGTTCGTGCAGTTGGAAGTTTCAGGTTCATAGAACTTTACAACTATTGATAAGAAGTTTAAGCTACGAAAAGATTCAAAGAAAACTTACAGCTTTGTTTTAGACAAAACTAGTGGCTTGCTGGATTATACCGATACCAACGGACCAGCCAGCTTACAACAGACACCAATCGGTTCTACTCAAATGATCTAAATCTCAAATAACATCTTCGTATTCCGCAAAGAATTCTGATTTTTAAGTTCATGTTTGCGCCAAACTCGACGATTTAAAAGTTTTAGATCTTTAGCGTCAGTTACTCTCAATAATTTAAAGGCTAAACTGATTAATCTTATTTTCATGCTATTTAGAAGACGGTTTGGATGGCTTTAACAATTGGCAGTATGTCAATCTATTACCCAACGGGGTACCAGAGGAAGTCTGTTAATTATACGCTCTTAAAATAACAATCAATGCCAAGGTTTTTTCCCTAGCTGTTTTTTTTTCTACGGTTCTATTCCTCTATTTTTTATCGCCGACATTTCTTTCAGCACCCTGTTGCCTCTCTCTTTTTCCTAGTAATTTCTTCATCAACTGTAACATCAAGATATCTATCGAAAGTCTACAGCTTCTATCAGCCGTGACGAAGAACGAACGATGACCCACAACACCCCACACGTTCAGTGAAATAACTTTAACATCATCTTTCACAAAACCTCAATGTTAACGACAATTCCTAAACCTACCCAGCTTAATTAGCTTAAGTCTAACCATTCTTCAGGTGTTGTCTTTCTTTTAGCAACAGTTCCTGCATAGTCACTGTTTATTTTTTTGTTTTGTTACATTGCATATCGTCATATTATTTAGCTCTAACTTTCTGCTAAAATACATTCCGCGGATTTGGCGTTCCAAAAATACATCGTAATAATATTTGCAAATTGATACAACGTTTAAGCACAATTCATCAAATTCATTAATAGAAAAGTCAAGTAAGAAAGTTTTTCTCCCGGAAATCTATCATTATATTTCATTTATTTCAATGAAAGATTTGCCTACGTTTCATTTATTGTGTCGTCCACATTGTTTTCGGTAAGTAAAATTTTTGAATTATCTTCGACTCGATTTTCTTCCACTTTGGTATCACTCGCTGTTTCATGTTTTTCACTAGGTGCTGTCGATGTTGGCTGTTCAGCGGTATCACTGGTGTGTGGACTGTGTTGGTTACTTACAGTCTCTTGACTGGCCGTCGAGGCCTGAGCCGAGTGAGTCGGTCCCTCTGCTTCTAGAAAGACGTCTTTAGGATCTAACAAATAGAGCCAATTCAGTTCAGAAGCTTATCATGAAATTGTTGTTGTTAAAAGGAAGACATGTTAGCATTGCAGGTAAAAATATTCCCTTTCGGTTTAGCACAACAACGATCCTTAGCCTTCATATACAGCAGGCTTATTCTACCCCTCCCCCTTTGACACACACACACACACACACATACCTGCACACTAAACAGAATTAAAATGGAAGAGTCAACGGTTATAAGATCGTGTTTTGCTCGTGTGTCCTCGTCTCCGGCATAATTGACGAAACAAAAAAAAATGTTTCCCGAATATTCGGTTTTTTCGTGGTTTTCTGAGTAAGAGAGTACAGATACCTCGATGAAGGAGTTCCCTTTGAAACATTATCTGTTTTTTAAACTCTCTCTATACCCTCCGATTACTAATCATAGCTTACGCAATGATAGCTTATCTCTGAATATAAGAAACTTGAGTGTTTCCAAAACTTACCAACAACGATTACTTTTTTATCTGTAGCACTTTCGTCGGCTGTTTGGCCGCCATTTCCGCTACTTGGTGTTTTTTTCAGACTTGTTTTCTCAACAGGTTTATCAGCTTCTGTAAATGATCTTGATCTTCCCTTATCGGATGTGCTACTATCATTAGTCAACGTTCTTTCTCGGTTGGTTCGATCGTTCTCTGACACGGAACGAACACGATGGATGGACCCTCCCGCGGTACGCTTCCGTGGAGACGCTTTAGCTGCAAGTTAATAAGATGATTCACGCTAAAACACCAGAAATATTAACAGACAGCACATTTAAGATGCTGTGGGATCGTCTGTAAAAGCCAGAGTACGCAAAATTTCGAGAATTACTACCGAGGACTTAACCTGCAGGCTGTGCAAGGATACATTCTCTAAAAAAGCACACGTCCTACCACACTTAGGTGTACACTGTACCTGCTGATTTCTTGAACACGAAGTTGGACATAAATTCTTGGAATCTTGTGCAGTAAAATGATGGTCTGTGGACTGACACTGTGTCCTGCAAAGACAAAAATACGCTCAGCTACTATGATTTATTACCATTTACAATTGACAAAACCTGTTTGACAAAAGCCAGGAAAACTTACCCCATCATGAAGAAGAGCCTTCCAACCGTGTTCTAGTTTCTTTACTATTCTGTTGGCAAAGAAGAGCATAGATTTAATTTCGTACCTTAAAATTTTAAAAGCATCAGGTATAACCTGAAAAGTGGGGTCTTTTAGTAACTTACCTGTAACTTTGTAGGATATCTATGATTCCAAGAAATAGAACCAAACGTTCTCCCTTGGCGTTACGAGCTGGAATACCACCAACCCTGAAACACAAGCACAATAGAATTAAAAGTGAGTTACCTTCGTCACTCAAGTCCCATCCGGAATAGTACTGCAGTTGTCATAATCTGTATCCGGTGTTAAGAGGGTGGACGATTCTAAGTACTCACGGTCTCTCTTCTGTTTCATTTCCTACAGTGATTGCTTCCCAAGCTGAACTGAAGCCTTCCCTTCCTTTTAAACTTCGAGTACGTGACAGAGATGTGCTGCTGCTCTCTGAAAAGAGAAGCAAGCTTCATTTTTATCACTTCTTTTTTTCCAAAAACAAATATTTTCAGTGCTTTACTACGAGCACAGTACCTGAATTTAGATGATTTTACGGTGTACATCTAAGTGATAATGAACTGTTACAAGTACATCTAAAAAATGTTTGACATTAACGACAAGTCCAAATTATCGTCTAAATAATACATGTACATACTGATTAACGAATTTAGTGTACAGTCTAGAGAGAGACTGATGAAAACACACCATGCATCGACAGTACATGGAGTATTTACCAGGACTACGTGCTCTTGTTTCCCACTGTCCATTGCCAGATGTCATGAGGGTTGTATCATCAGTGGGGGAAGATAGATGACCTGATGGAGTCTCTACTCTGGTTGTTGGTTTATCAGTCGCAGGTTCACTGTTTGATCTTTTATATCTCGCTACAACATTCGTACTAGTCTCTTCTACTTTATGAATGGCAAGAAGGAGACTGTAATCCATGATTTTGAAGCTTTGTAATACCTGCACAAAACAATAAATAACATCGATTGGTCAGCAGTTAAAGCATGAACACTGGTACTCCATTGGCTTTTAATAATTAAATAAAATTATCAGTTGTTCTGACCTGTCTGTCAATCTCAATGTATGCTATAGACCATTAAATACCAGTATGAAGACACGCACAAGTACATTACAACGCTATAAGGTAGCATATATACTCAACTACTACATCACATTTGTGAAAAAAAAAATGAGCTGAATTTGTGATTACGATGATATAATTAGGAAAAAAGTGGCAAAAAGGAACTAATTAAAAGGAATTGATAACTTACTCTACAATCTCGTTGGATTGTCCTCATTACTGCATTGTAAGTTTCTGGTTCAAGAAAAAGGCCCTAGAAACAAAGCAATAAGTTTGAGGAAGGTCAAATAACAATCTTTATTATGCACAATTAAGGAATTCATGCATTTAGTCCATTAACGGTTGTGATGATTATGATGATCATAGTAACAATAATAACACTAATAATAAAACAATAATAACATTATGAATAAAAAGGAGGATAGCTATAACAGCGATAATGATAATAATAATTTAATAATAATAATAATAATAATAATAATATCAATAAGAATAATCAGTGGACTGAAAGTGAGTTTTGTCAAAAAGAGCAGTTACCTCTGGGTGATCATTCAAAAAATCCAAGTCTTTAAGTGTAGGTGTTTCTTTGGCTCTTTCTGCCTTTGATGCTTTTCTTTTGTATGTTGAGCCCTATTAAAACAATGTATATGTGAATTAGTTGAAAGGATGGATGGCATATCTTGAAAATTGTACATACACCACTATGGAATAAATACAAGGGCTTTCTATTGATACATGTAGGTACCAGTTAAAGTTTATGGCAAAGAAATGTTACTGACTATGTATATGAAGTATAACTGGTGGTCACTTTTGCTTATAGATGTCAACTTGAGTTACAAACCAGTGCTATTGCAGAGGGAACCAACATGTCCAGTTTATATATTTACCTTAAGGTCATATTTAAAATGTATTTTGTATCCTCGAGGTAGGAGGTTGTTCATTATTACTAATCTGATATTCTTTCCCCCACACTACAATGAAAACAACAGTAACAGTTAGTAACAGTCAAATCATTTGTGAAATTGAAACAAAAGTTCTGAACAAAGCTTTTATGTTACCTGATAACAGTATAAGCCAAAAAACTTTGGCAACAATGTTCTTTTGTTCTGATTTAAATTCTATGAGGAACATAAAAAAATTAGTCAACCAATGAATTTCACTTACTGAGTATTAGGATGCATACAAAAGACAGTGCAACAGTGAAACAATGATATCAATATGAGTGACATCATTCATGCACACAAAGTTATAACATCTAAATGTGGAAAAGTTTTATGTGCCCCCACCCTCTCTTCCCTGGTCACTGGTGGGAATTACTTGAGTCTCAAGTGCCTGTAGCCATGCAAGCACTAGTGCTTCTTTGATTCTGATATAATGAACATCACACAGAATATTTCCTAACCAAAATGTGTAGATAATTATAATCAACAGCATTACTCTTTCCATGTGATTTCAGTTAAGAATCACCATTGCACCTCTCCAACAAAGAATGTATTTAGCAAACATCACATGAAGACATGATACTAATTTATGTGATTGGTGTTTGTCAACCTTTTTTATTATTTCACAAAGGAAACCACTTAAAAAGGTGTGATCCTTGTTGTTATGAATGCAATTACACCTTTCATGAAGCAAAAAAGTAAAGCAACTTTCTTAAGACTCCACTTGTGATTTCTTTCAATTTCTTCCCAAAGACTTTTTCCCAAAATTTGAGGTGCTTTAAAGCTTATCTGTGTGCAATCCAATTTTAAAACAAAGCCCAAAACTGTTTTGAGGACTCAAACAAAATGATTATAAAATTTGTGAATGTGAATCCTATATGACAAGACTTTCTCCCACTCAGCAATTCATTGAAGCCTTTGGGATGCAGCAAGGGTCAACAGTGACTAATGTATTGATTTTGCTGAAGACTTGAACTCTTTTTTATTGTTGTGTTACTTAGTTCAGTTTTGCAGTTTAAGTAGGATATAATTCATAAATATTACTCTATCTAAATGTGTTAGCAAGTGTTCATGCATTGGTTTCCTACATGCTGTAGGAACCACTCACTAAATAATATCCAGGCAACAATTTCTGAAGAAATTCTGCCTCCTTGTGTTGAACAGTTTTCACAATAAATTCGTCATCATTTGTAACATAAAACAGGGAACCACTAGCTCCTGAATTAGTAAGCTCCACCAACGGTTCATTACATAGTGCCATCTAGAGAGGAGAAAAATTCAGGAGTCAACACAGATTTTCAGTAACAATAGCCATTAGAGGGATTTCTTGCTCAACAGTTGAACTTTTACAAACTCACAAAGGAGAATAAATGCCAATCCCAATGCAAAATAAGACAATGCAGCTAAAAACTGTCTTTTCTATAAGATTGAGAAAATACAAGTGCAGAAAGTTATTAGCAATATTGCCATGGGTGGAAAAAGGTTACACAGTACATATATATTTGACCCTTCAACTCCCAAGATCTGATTGCTAATTCTCCCCTTGAGCTGCTACACATATCCTTGTGAATTAGTTATGAGAATTTTGTGTAAGATCAAGATAACAACTTCCACCTGATAACTTTGAATATTCTCATTACCTGTTTGCTGGATAATGTAAGGATATTATAGGGAGAAGTTTTCATATTGATAACTTCAGGGAGTTAAAGGGTTGTGGTTAGAAGTACTGCAAGAAACAAGCTGGAAGAATTGCCATCAAGTTGTTGATGGTTCAACTTGCCAATGCCAACTCGCCGACATATAAAATCAAGTACAGATGTTGGCGAGTTTTTCTTCAATCCAATACAGCTTATCAGAAGAGAGACATATAGAAAAGTAAAAGATATTCAGTAGAAAAACAATTTTGTTTTCTTCCTACAAAGTTTCTATGGATCTCATGGTGAATAAAGCAAGGCAGATATCACCAGTGACTATAGAAGCTTCAGATGCGAATGAGATTTATTGTGTGACAACAACACTGTAAAGACTCATCATGTCAATCAGTCAGATTTTTTTAAAAAAAACTTTGCTTTCTAGACAAGATCTTAAGTAAAAAAATAATTTTTTTATTTTTCTTTTTAATAAAAAACATGAATGACTTGGATATTCAAAAATATACAATAACAGATCATGAGGAATGAAAATAACATATTAAACCATAATTAGTGTAATGTTTCAGGCTGTAATAATTCTGGTTGCAAAGGTAAGTCAAGTTAAAGAAAAAAAGTTTTAATTTAATATATTCAAAAAAGGCCAAGTCAAAAGGAGGTCCTGATTTTATTTTTCTCAAATTTTGACCAGTAATGATTGTTTTGATAATTAAATAACATCTACATGCAAACAACAACAAAAAAATTGTGCATATAAATACAAGGCCAGTTCTACAGATTTTACTTAGGGATCAGTTGGTATGTTGGTATTGAACAGTTCATTATTTTCTAAGGCTAAGGAGTTCACTAATGATGATAATAGTAATAATAATAATAACAATGATAAAAATAACAATAAAACTACAGTATCAGAGAAACAATTGTATACTACAGCTATGTATGTAACAATTTTGGTGAACATTGTCACTGATCTGTTGAAACAAAGTGGGGGGAAGGAAGGGAACAAATACTTCGAATTTTGGCCAGTGGTACTTAGTCAAGGGCAATGCTAATTTAAAGGATTTACAGGATGTCACATTGTCTTATGTTGTATTATGCAGTGCCCTGTCTAAATTCATCTTTACAAGGTGATCTCTGATTTTAACAACTAAGACTGCCTTACTAGAAAAAAAAAATGTTAGGATCATCTGAACTGTAAGAGGTATATGATTAAAATTCTAACTCCACTTGTTAAGATCAGGTTGTAGGATTTATAAGTTTCTTTAACTTTTCCTTGTGTAGGATGCTTAACAAACTAAGCCAACCTTGGCTTTTTGAGGTTGTGTTGTTCACAGTATTCAAATCAAAGAAAAGAGTATTGAGAAAAATGTACAGATAATGGTTAAATGAAACTTTAAAAAAAGGACTTTTTGGGGCTATGCTCAAGTACAGTGTATCTATGCAGAAGCTCAGTAGTCTCAATATTTAAGAATCAGTAGTTATATACAAGATAATTTCCTTATATAAGTATATGTGATGTTACTTTTCTAAGAAAAATAAGAATCATTTGAAGGAGCCAAAAAAGCTCTTCCTCTTACCATAAATTCAGCAGGGTTCATCAAAAACAAATCCCGAAAATATCTATGGAATAAATATGAAAGAATGCAATATTTAAGCAATCTGGGAATATTTTTTTGAATCTACAGTAGTCTCAGTACAATTATTCTTTTCAAAGCTTTATCACCAAAATAGTTTTATTTGAATTTTCATACACTGTACATTAGTAACATCTCAAAACAATAACCTGAGACCTTTTGTATCAAATGAGTGCAAAGAGCATAAACATACCTAAAAGCAACTGGAGAGTATGATTTGAATTTAAAATCACTAAACCGATGGGATGGGGTCTCTCTTGATCCTTCACTGTAAAAAAAAAACAAAAAACAACAATTACTTCGAAAAATTCCCAGTAGTGCTTAGGTAAACAAACCTGATAAACTAACATGTTACTAAACACTAGGCCAAAACCCTACACACATTTATGAAATGACTGCTATGTGCCATCAAAATCCCTTTAGAAAGTCCCAATGCATAAATTTAGTTCTAGTATAGGTTTCCTATGTCTATCAATCAGGGGAATCTACCTTGGAAATATAACAGTTTCTACTTCTGCAAAATCTTGCATCAACACATCTCGCTCTGGTTTAGCTGATAGTCTTCCAACCTGAAAGACATATACACTGTTCAGAATCTTAAAACACAGAAGGTGTGCCATTGACAGCTGTTATACACAAGAATGTTTGACAAGGAACTCACAGTGAATCCAATCCCAAGTTGAATGGCTGCCATAAGTGCTGATGAGGGAGTCTAATATGTAGTTAAAAAACATGGGTTAGTAAAATTTTTAAGACAAGTTTCATTTATCTTGAACGATAATTCCTATTTCAGAGAGATCATCCAATAAATTGTAATGACTTAATATTTTTTGAAGTGGTACATATAATTTATGCAAGAAAGTACAAATGCATCAGCATGTATACCACTTTTTCTGCACTTATTATTGAAACCTTAACTAAGATTAATTTTTTATGTCCTTGATTAAAAGCTTTCAGACCCAAGAATTAATGTTTTCTCACTTACCTTTTTGTATGTGGTTTCTCCTGTTTCATCCACCCTGCGATGTCCAATCTTGGAACGTGGGGTGGGAGGATTCTTTTCTTTGTCAGTTGATGTGAAGGACTGTGTTCGAGACATCTGAAAATGTCAAGGCACGGATACAAAAATGCATTAATCAGCTCCATCTTTAAAAGACATTTGTATTAGGAACTGTTCAAATCATGTTTTTCACTATCCTTTTGGTATAAATTCAAATTAATACCTCAAACATTTCCATGCCAGTTTGTTAGGAATGAGGCCAAGAAAAAATGTTACAAAACTGAGATATCCATTTATCTAGCTTAAACATAGATATTGTCTAGATATTGAAATTATATTTACACTGAGCCAAAAGCTGGTATGATACTCCAAGTATGTTGCAATCATTGTTAACTTCTTGCATGAGGGCTAATGAGCTAAGTAGCATTCTTCATGCTATGAAACAACCATTCACCAAAATGGAGGTGGCTTGTGATGGATATTTACTGGGCCACAAAGCAGTAAGGTTAATACACATCTCTATCCACTGACACTGAAGTGAATAGTTGTTTTAATGAGATAATATAGCACAAAAATATGATTTCAACTCATTCATACCTACAATGATTACAAATGTTTTGGGTGAAAATCCCATGTAAGTAGCTTGGAGGTGAATAGCAGAGGATGAATTAGAGTTTGAGTAACCAATCAGAGCCCACCTTTAACACTATTTACTCTTTTAGTACAAACTAATGCTTGATGTTCGAAGGTATAATGATTTTAGCTATCACCTTTTGGTGTGAACACTAAGTAAATAATAAAAACAAATGATGATAAAATTATACCAACAATAATGATAACAAACTCAATAAAATTAAGTTAGAGTAATAATATGCTGAATGTCAAAGCACTTTTAACAACAGACCCCTCTTTCTGTAATAAACCATTGGGATGTTGGCAGATCACATGGTTATATTGCTGGACAAATGACATGGTAGACTGAAGAGTTCTCAGTGAGACAGAGAGACCCAACAATCACTCTGAAAACACTACTTCCCTTGAAATAAACTGTGCTGCTGCTCTAATGGTTAGGTGAAATTTTCAACTTCTTTCTGTTACTCCATGATGTACTTTCAAATGAAATTCAAAGGCATTGAGACTTTGAACCAATTGGAAAAAAACTATGTTTGGTCAGCTGACTGCTGGCCAAGCAGGTGAAATATTTCTATGTCAGCCTAAATTTCCTAATGTAACATCCTTGTTGACAGGCTTCATTAATCTCTTACCCCTAAGGGGGTAGGGTAAGTGGAAAGGAATAGGAACAACCCATTGAGCTGAAAATTTTAGAGTGGAATCAAATTAAATTGGAAAAAATTTTTCTTTAGTCACTTAAAAGGCTCTTGAAAATTCTTCAAAAAATTGAAAAAATGATGACAAATTATCTCTAAAAAAAGGGGATTGAAGGATTGAATGAGCACTTCATAAAGATTGCTACAAACTCAGTTGAAGTTGGAATAAAGCGCTGTACATTTGAAGTTAAACGCTTTAGACAAAGCAGTGTTCATCACTGGTAACCAGCATTTTAAATAGGTCTTAGCGATAGCTATTGCTACCAGTGAATTTTTGTAAAATTTCGTTTTAGTCTCAGATGCCATTCCCGGAATTACGACAAGAGCACCCACAAGCTTATATCGTAAGAGCTGAGCGTAAAACGTCTAATTTTCCGCAAAAGTGTTTCAGTTTACCTCCAAAGGTGCTGGTTTGGTCTTCGGCTTAACTGATGAGTTCGCCAGCGTTACTTTATATGAGTTTGTCCCTTTCGCTTGAAAATGAAAAAATATTTTTAGCCAAGTCAATATTCAGGGAAGATAGACATAACTTGAGCAATAAGCAGCGACCTACTCAAACAGATATATTTTGCAAATAGCACGCCGCTCTCAAAGATCATACCGGGTTGTTTTTAAACACAAATCTTACAAGCCAAAGAGAAGCAAGAACTACGAATAAATAAATGATGTCCTCTGCATGATCTTACCTGGTTCCAAATTCAGGCTCAGCCCAGTCGCCATACGCTTTAACCTTTGTCACATAAAAAGCAAAACACTGCCGGGAAACAATTACTTCCCGTGCTCAACGACATGCATGTCACAAGTTTTACGATTAAATTTCAAATACTTTGGATACTCTTAAAGTGTCCTCTAGTAATATTTCAAGAGGAGGTGAGATCAGGAGATAAATAACATAATTTACGAAGAAATACCGTTCACCACCTCAAAGCAAAACAGCATCTTTGTATTCTCGCCAGTAAGGCCTGATGGGTAAAAACACTCGAGACCTGTCAATAACTTGTCGGCTCAAAAATCGCGAAAGTTCGACATGAGCGATGATTTCCGATTGTTAGGAAATCATGGCGGGCTGAATGCAGACTAATATGAGAAATTTCTTTAGGGCCTTGTCACTTTCACATGGATCCTGCAAACCTCCCTGGAAAATATTATTTTTCGGAACAGATCGGTTCGCTGTCCACTCACTGAAGGCTTTGCATGAAAATCAGAGGTTCGTGAGAACTGTTTGTGACACGTGCGAAAATACACACTTTTCGGTGGCAGGCAAGAAACATTTGTAGACATCTGCGCCACGCTAAAGTGCGCCTTATTCCTACTGAAGATAGTTTTCATGCAGGGTTACATTGATAAAGCCCATACTGCTGTACTGATTTTTAGAGGTCTTTTTCAGACACAAGTTTGGATTACATTTTACTTTAAAGTTATTTCAATTTACAGATATTTTTATCTTCTTATTTGATATTTATGGGAAAACTTGTTATTAATTGTCAAAGATATGCACAAATTTTGCAAGGAATGGTTGTGGGAATTACACATTCATACCATGAATTATGCACATTTGTCCATGAAGTTTGCTTAAATCTTAAATAGGTAAAAACCAAACATTTTGGACTCTAGGTGATTATCAGGGTAATTTCCCTGATGAAGACCTCGTGTGGAAAATGTTTGGTTTTACTTTTTAAATATTATATACATATTTATTTTTTTAAATTTTGCTTAAGAATTAGAACCTCAGGCAGAATTGTAGAACTGATTGATGTTGTATGTCCACCAGACAATCGCAAAGTAATCAAGGTAGGTCAAAGTTACAGGACTCAATCTGTTCAAAATTATTCAGTTGTATCACATAACATGATAAACTATAATTATAGGGAAATAATGAATATCAAGGAGAAAAATTACTCTAGATACTTATTTGTATTTGCTTTGGATATTCATATGTTCTTGGTGAGGGTACAGGTGGTCCTTCAAAGAATTTTAGTATTTTTAGGAAATTAACCTTCAGAATTACAGTCTTAATATTCAATTAGCTGTTACTCCTTTACTATAGCTTGGGTTCTACTGTTAATGTCGAGGGTAGCTTCTTTAATTTCCAAGAAAATTTTAAAGGCAACCAAGGAACAATAACTTATTTGTTATATCTATATCTATATATATATATATATATATATATATATATACATAAGTTAAAGAATTAAAGTGGATGCATCGATTCTCTGTGACTCTGAGTTTTGCACCTAAGCACTCGTCAGACA